GTATGGTGTTGAATACAGGGTCCTGCAGAAAATTTAGGGATCACAGCCTCATAATGTGCAGAATGAAAATGGATCTAATTAAATGGGCTTTAATAATATTATCATCTTAATATTAATATTATCACTAATATTGGTCAATAATTAATATAGTACCATGTCAATATCGTGCATCCCTGCTTTTAACATAACACAGCATTATAAAAGCGGTGACACTCCTGGTGAGAGATGCTGAAAAACAGGATGCAATACAACAGTCTGTATCTATGTCTGTACATCGACCTTAGGCTATTTTTATTTGTGACAGAAATGAAATAAGGTTGTGAAGGACGAAAGTACAGTGTGTTTGTTCAGTGGATTGTACTGTTGTTTATGAAACATATTTCCAGGGGACTTTCAGCAGATAAAAACCTAAATAAAAAAAATAAATAAAAGGTTTTTGAAAGTTATGAGTTTTGAAAATTGCATGTGATCTAGGACCTTTATACAGCACATACTATTGCAAAAGTCTATCCATTGCAGCCTAATTTTCATCTGTATAAAATTAGATATGGCATCTACCTTGCAGACAAATTTTTCAAGTAAAAACACATCCTCTGCACTTAATCTACCTTGAACAGACATGCAAACGGTTTGCTGTGGACATACCGTACTGATTTAATATAAAAAAGTCACTTTTTGTAATGTGTATTCAAATCTTTCTGCAACAATAAATGTAATGTCTTTGCATTGTCTACATCTGTGGTACTTGATTTGCAAATAATGTTTAACTTTTTTTTTCTCTCTGCATTGAAAAGCATAATTAGGAAGGTGGCACAGAATGTTTTAGATTCCAAACATAAGGGAAAACAGATCTGGCAGAACCCTGGCTCACTAATGATTAGAGCACCATGATTTTAACAAAAATCTCTCTGTTATTATGGGCTGGTAAAAAAAAAAAAAAAAAAGTTCTGAGACATATTTGCCGTTTTTATTGTTCATAAGCGTAAAGCTTATGAGGCATGATCTTTTAAAAGAAAAACTGATTTATCTACATTCAGGTTCTGCCCTGCCAGTGAAATCTAAGCAGGCTAATATTAGAACCTGTCTGTGAATTCATCATTGTTTGGGTCACAGGTACGCCTGCTTCACACAGAAGACAGCATCACCAACAGATTCCTGCAGGTGCTGTTTGAATAAAAAGATCAGGATGTAAGGAAACATGTGGTCTTTTGAGACCACATATCACTTTGAAAATAAAAAAAGTTAGTGTGATATGAAATTAAAGTTCTGTTTTCAATTAACTCATGTCATTTCTTTCCTCTGTGGAAGATTTATTTAAATTTCTATTAGTGCTGTCAAACGATTGAAATATTTAATTTTGATTAATCGCAATTAATTTCACATTTTTATCTATTCTGTCTTGATTTATTTTTGTCCCATTATTTTTTTTCTCATTTTAATGCTCTTACCAACATGGAAAAGTGGATTGGCTTGCTTTGTGCAAATGTTTTTATTTTATTTTATTGAAAACAACATTGGCATATACTGTGTTCAATTTTACACTAACATTCTCACATGGAGCAAATAATCTCACACAATATAACACTGTCCATCAATAAAAGGGTGAAAGAAATACTGACAAGGTTCTGATATTGACGAGTGGTGGGCGGAGAATTCGCATCAGCTGTGTGTGTGCGTACGTGTGTGCTTAGCCATCAAGTGGTATTTCAGACTGGACCTGCTGCGATGATGATAGCTCAGTTAACAACGACAAAACATACAGGTCACTTTGGTCTTGGCAACTTTTAAAAAGTAAACTTTCCATTCAGAATCTTATTGGCATCCATTTCTACGTCTCGAACATCCCAATTGCTATGATTAGATGCTTGAGTGCGGTTTTCTCATTGCTGTCATTTTTTTTATTTTTGTGTTAATTTTGTTATTGAAAGGAAAGCACATATTAAAATTATTATCTAAATGCAGCTTTCAGAAGCGCGGGCAGTGTCAGGATGTTCACTAAAGGCCCGTACACACCGGGACAAAAATATCAGCGCGCGTTATTCGTCAGCATTTTTCAACGCGTTTTTTGTGTTCACACCCAAGGGATTTTCGCTGACGATGAGCAGAGTGAACATGCAAATTCATTCCCTGACAATAGATGGCACCAATTTGCTCTGCAATACCCCTCCATAACAGTTTTCTTTTAGAAATATGTTTGTAGTCCCTGTTGCGTTTGTAATATAATTCTTTATGTTCTAGAACCAACGAGAACAGCAGCTTTACATGCATATTCCTCGACTTATTTCTTCCTGGCTGTGTAGACGGCGATGCTACTTGGCATATATCTTCTTCGCCGTTGCATATGTGTGCTCGGCATGACCGTTTTGTGTTTGAGCGTCCCCAAGTTGTGTTTTACTGTAACTTCAGAAGCTCTAAACACTTGAGCAAAAGCGGCAAATTGGTCAGATAGTTTTTGACACAGTGCGTCAAACTAAAAAAACATGCCTGAGGCGTTTTTTTTTTAAAAATGACACTTTTACGGGTGGCGTTTTACACGTCGATGTACACACTCACATTGGCGCCCTTTGTTTAGTCAGGAGGCATTAAACGTTGGCGAATAAAGCGCGTGAAATTCGTGCCGGTGTGAACAGGCCTTAAGACTGTCCCTGCGTCCCAATTCGCTTACTTATACAACAAGTATATACTCTTTTTGTGAAGAAAAAGTGCATACTTTTGAGTGTGTAGCAAAAGAGTAGGCAAGTTTTGGGACATACTATCATGTCATCTTTAACGGATAGCTCTGTCACGTGCATCCTGTCACCGTAAACTGCCCAGTCAATCATCTTGTCACAGTTAAAATCCTCCATTCAATCGAATTTGATTTCCTACCTTTTCGGAGCACGTTGATCTGCCAGTCGTGGGTCTTTCATGCAGATACTCTTCTCGTGTTAGCAATTTGAATATAATGATGCATTTAAAAAGTAATGTCTAAACGTGCTATGGTGCTATTTTGTCTAAAAAAATAAAAAAAATAAAAATAAAAAATGAAACCAAAACTTAAAACCAAAATCAAGATTTGAATCTCATCTCAAACGACTGAAACTTTGATCTTTTACCACCTCTTTGTGACAACAGCTCATTTGAATCACATTCAATTACCAATCACCAGTCTTATTGAAATCCATTTGGTAGTTGTATGTCGTCCCACCAGGTCAACTTGGCAGTTTCTTGGAGGAGCTTGATGGGCTACTCTCATCCTTCCCTGAAGATGGTACTCCTCTCATAGTTCTTGGTGACTTACACCTAGAAAAACCTCAAGCTGCTGATTTCCACACCTTGTTTGCCTCATTCAACTTCAAACGAGTATTTACTGAGGCTACTCAGAAATCAGGTAACCAATTGGACCTTATTTACACGCGCTACTGCTCCACTGACCATACACTGGTCACTCCGCTGGATCACTTCCTTCTCACTCTCAACCTCAACTTGCCTCAGAACACAACACACACTCCTCCACAGGTCACCTTTCAACGAAACCTCACTTCCTTCTCTTCTAATTTCTCTACTGCTACAATGACTTACTATCACAACAAAATTAAATATTCTTCTGACTATTATTCTATTATTCTTTCCGACAGCTTTTAAGCAGGCTTGGGTAACCCCACTCCATAAGAAACCCACTGTAAATACAGCACATCTGTAAAATTACAGACCGGTATTCATTTTTCCATTCGTCGCGAAAACACTTGAACGAATTTTCAACCAGATCCCTTCCTTTCTTACACAGAACAACCTCTGTGGACAACAAAAAATCTGGTTTCAAAAAAAAGCACAATATAAACATTTTGATTTTTGAAATTCAGATTTCCATCATCTAAAGCTCACTTAAAATTAACCCTTTAAAATATAGCCAAAGATGTTTGTAAGACAGGCTAAGATAAGACCAGCTACCATCAGGCTGGAATGAGAGGTAGAGTTGTGTGTCATCAGCATAGCAGGGATAGGAAAAGCTATGTCTCTGAATCACAGATCCTAGTAATGTCATGTAGATGGAAAAGATAAGTGGTCCAAGCACTGAGCCCTGAGGCACCCCATTAGCTAGATGTTGGGTCTTGGACACCACAACGCCCTTCCACGACACCCTAAAGGACCTATCTGGGAGGTAAGACTTGAACCATTGGAGTGCGGATCCTGAAATGCCCTTCATCTTTAGGACTGACAGGAGGATCTGTTGGTTAACTGTTGTCAAAGGCAGCAGGCAAATCCAGCGAGATGAGAAATGAGGATTTGGAAGCTGCTCTTGCCAGTCTCAGAGCTTCAATTACTGAGAGCAGGGCAGTCTCAGTTGAGGTCCCAGTCTCAGTTGAGGTTTTTATAATGCTTTTTTTGTCACTGTGAAACTGAAACTGAAACATCACCTGTCCTCATTTCACTTTCATTATAAGGAAGATAGGAGACTAGGATATTATTTTATGTTCTGCACAAGTCAGTCAGAGGGCTTGGGATGACATGAGGTTGAGTAAATGATGACAGAATGTTAATTTTTGCATGAACCATGCCAATTATTTTATATTAAAATAAATTTCTCTTAAAATAGTTCTAGTCTTTGTGAACCGAGTATGCACAAATTGTCAGATTAGTTTAACTTCAGTGTATGTGAAATGGCACAAATCATATTCTGGGGGAAGCAGACCAGCACGACTAAAACAATTCCTGAACATCTGCAGTACCTCTGATTGTTTCTAAAGAGCAGTGCTCTGGACCACTCATTGGTTCAGCATGACTTTAAACTCACAACCCAAAAGTGATCTGAACCAAAAGCCATCTGGTCTCACATGCATTTCCCCAATCACTAATCCTGAAACACAATAACACTGAAGCTTCCCGTAGTGGAGCGCTTCCATTTGCATCTCTGCACCTTTCTAAAGAGAAAATATGCAGAGGTATAGAGGTAAGGGGCGAATTAAAGAGACAGACATGGAGGGGGTGAGTGGACTTTTGTGGGATGAGTTCTGGATTACCTTCATAGAGCTGAGCATACTGAGGAAATCCAGCCGCTCGGAGCCACTCACAGGCCTCCTTCGCCTCCAGTTCTGAGAGAGAGAGAGAGAGAGAGAGAGAGAGAGAGAGAGAGAGAGAGAGAGAGAGAGAGAGAGAGAAATGAATAAATGAAATCAATAAGATAATCTATTATTTCAATTCTCTCACTTGATTAAAATGAGACATCCAGCATATATCAGACATTATATCAAACATTTATCAAACTTTTGTTATTTTATTAACAAAATATTATATTGTGATAATTTTTGTTATCGGTTTGTCACCCAGCTGTACATAAAATTTTTATTTTTTTGGAAAATGTTGATACCATTAAAATTTCATAAATCTCATAACCAATTTCAACATCACAAAAATCCTATTACAAGCAATAGAACAAAAAAAAACTACAATAGAACAAAGACACAAATTAAGTAGACCTTCCTGAAAAATTCCAAGCACTACATAGGTCTATAGAAATACTAGATAAATTTTATGTAAATTATAGTAATCAAATGTATAAAAAACACTGCATGGTCTGTGTAAATTAAATATTAAATAATATTTAGAATTATTAAAGTTACAAAAGTAATTCAGTCAAGAGCAATGAGATTGTTTGATTAACATTATATTGACACAGACGGCAGCAGGTATATTATGGGGCTTTTCCACTGCATGGTACGGTATGGCTCGGCTCGGTACGGCTCACTTGTGGCGTTTTTCACTACATGGTACAGTACGGTACCACCACTGTTGAGGTTCCAAGCGTACTGTACCGATACTAAAATGTGACGTGAACACACTGCAGATCACTGATTGGTCAGACAGAATTGTCACTACCAGCGTAGTTGTATTTGCAAGACATCAAACCCGCTAGATATTCCTCTGCACTTGGTTGCCGAGGAGCGGATAAACTATAACGATTCAGACTAAATCCCACACACTTTGAAGTGGTACTAACTGCAGTGGAAAAGCAAACTGAGCTAAAGTGAACCAAGCTTTGCCGTGCTGAGCTGAGTCGTACCACACAGTGGAAAAGCGAAGCGAGCCGAACCGCACTGAGCCATACAGAGCCGTACCAGCATTAGAAAAGCACCCACCCTCCTCTGTAAGCAAGATATTTCGAAACTCTTATTACCTTTTGCTTTACTTGGGTGGAGATGAGACCTTTGTACCAGTCACACAGAGACATTTTAAATGATACCAAACATGTATAATACTGTATGATAATTGTTCACATTAAACCATATGAGACAGAAGGAATGGGGGAAGAGGGGGTCAAGGGAAAGAGATGTAGATTAGGATGATACTTGTGCCTCAAATGGTGATGCTACGTACTTTCACAAGAGAGAGTTCAAATGTTAATTTCCTTAGTTTTCCCAGAAAGTTGCCCTCTCTTCCAGTTTTCCAGTCTTACAGTTCCATATGCCATAGCTGTGCACAAGGCAACCCGAGTCTAGTTGACGCCAACTTTACTTTCATCACATAAATGGCGACTTTAAAAAATCTGAAATCGTTCATCAGAAAGTATTGGATTTATTGATTTGCAAAAACAAATCATCACAATGGAATTTCAAATATACTGAAATGGAATTTCAGAATCTGCATTTGATAAAACCATGATTAACCTGTAATTGTGTAGCCTGGCTAACATCAGACCCCTGGGAAGTAACCACGTTCTTTTTCTCGTATTTGAGGCGTGGTTTACAAATGCCCAGAGCCGTTTATTGAGTGCTACGAAAGTATATTAAATGCGCCTGTACGTTGCTCATAGCCAATCGTTTCAATTATACCAGATGACACAAGTAGAGCGACAGAAATTAGACAAGGACGACAATGGGTCAGAGATTTGTGTGTACACGATGGCGTTCAGTGACTATTGCCGTTTGTGCAAGACAAAGATGAGGGTTAAAGGTATATGGACACTCTAACAATTAACAATTGTTAACAAGTAACAATACGATTTCATAAGCAGCTCACATTCGACCTAACATTCTGAGCATGAACCTTTGCCATTTGGGAAGCTAGCCAATCAGATCCAAATATAAACTGACTAGCCAATGACCTCGCAGCATGAATAAAGGAGTAGGGAAAGAAAAATTCAACAGAATAACCCTGTCAATCAAAACAGCAGCTTTGGCATGAAGTAGATAGTATGCCTAATAACATGATTCCAAAACAATCATAGACTGCTCGCAAGTGTTGTCAGTAATAGTCTTTCTATTCATAAGCATATATGGCTGTCAGGGTGAGTTGGGATCTGAAATTCTGGCCTATTTATAAAGGCAGGCACAGTCTGCTGAAAGCCCTTCAGGATAATCTCTGGCACACTGAAGCAAAATTGTGTTCAAATGAACAGATAATCATTTAACGACACTCTAAAACAAATTATGTTTAATTACAGGCTTCAGAAATCATTTATGCATTTCATTTGAGTTTTAATTTATTATACATATAATATGCAATTCCAAACAAGACATACACAAAAGGTATTCAGCAGTGAACACATTCACACACACACACAAAAGATTACATTTCAGAATGCAGTACTAGACTCATTCCACATTTCAATATTTATTATAGTTATTATATTATTTATTATAGTTATTGTAAGACCTTGTGAAATGAGACAAGCTCTGCATTCTGAAATGTTTTTTTTACAATTATTTTTTTTTTATACGGTATATTTTATATGTGAAAATACCAGAAAAATACCAAAGTATTGTAAGCAAATAATAACAAAAGTCGAAAAAATTCTGAAAATATCAATGTATTCTACAACCAAATTGCAAAGAAATGAATGTGAAGAGTTGAAAGTAAAACAATAGCGCTTATATTCCCCCCAATGCCGCTGGATACCAAATTATATTGAGATGCCAGAAGAACTCATAAATGCCAAATATGAAAATGTGTGTAAATATGCATATGAACACAAATGGTCACGTACACACACACTCTTCATTCCTACGATCAGATCGGCTTTGTCTGTTTCCTGCCTCCATACACTGCCCCTTCAGCATTCCTGAACTCCCTTACTCCCAGCAGTGCTCCGGGTTTTCTCGTGCATACGCCCACATTTATACTGTCTCTAGATCACACACTTGAAGTCATTAAACTTTGTCTGACAATCCATTTAAACACTGCTCTCCACCTACAAATATGATATGTGGCAAGATTGCAACAATAGATTATAAGATTTTCATAGCACGATAAAATCTCAGAAAATATCAGTTTCGTGGTATTTTAAGAATTGATTCGATATTGATTCATTTGAAAATATTTCATAAATACATTTAGTTAAAATTTATATTTTTGAAATCTGAGACATTGTTTCTTATCTAAAGCAACTAAGGACAGCTTATTGCAAATATTTGATAGGAAGCAGGCTAAATGATGTTAAGTGAAACTTCATTTATGAATTAACAGAAAATATCATTGAATTAAAAGATCAATCTTGGTATTTAAGAAGACTATAATAAAGTAAAGCATTAAAATGAAGATTTTAAATGTTTTGGAGAATCATTTTTTGCGACGAGGGATGGAGATTGGTGGTATTTACAATGTCGTTTATCTGACATTGTCTCTGCTGCCTGCAATGCATGCATATGTATGGGTGTACACAGGTTGACTAGTCTGACAGACGTTCAAGAAGGGAAAAAATTTGTGTACGCACTCTTGACATTCTACATCCAGATTCATTTTCATACAATGAATAAGTAAAAAGCCTACTTTGTGACTGTCAATTTTCATACCATGAAACCCTATAGCCATAGACAAGAATTTGAATTCATCATCATTACTGTACATATATTTTTCTCCATGTCAATCATCAATACAAGCTACAACAGTTACTATTACTGATATTAGTATGTTCATGAATAATTGATGTTGTAATCAGAAATTCACATTGATGAGAAGGTCCAGACAGGCATAAAACATGAACATTCCTGTAACTGCTTCTCTTCTCAGGAAAGGTGGAAACCCCCTAAGTAAAGTGTTTCTTTTTCCCTCTCCTTCTCTACTACCCCTCCCTCTCTTTTCCTTTTCCCACCCCCTCCCTCTTTCTTCGTTCAATAAACAGGAAGTCTAAAGAGTTACTGTATTAAAATAAGAGGATAATGGGTGAGTGCTGTGGGTTAACATGATGATGATGATGATTGACAATTGTGTCTAATCTAACTTTATTCTTTCGTCATAGAATAATCGCCTACAGGATAAAAGAGATGTTTCTTTTGTGATGTTCTTCCATGCATGGACACATTTGACTAAGCTCAAGGGGTTAGTAGAGATGCAGAGGCCAGAGATAGTCTGTCATCAATGTACTTAAAAAAAAAAAAGGAAAAAAAAGGGAGGAATTCCCCACCGAGTGGACCTCGCAAAAATATCCGTTTGTGAGGCCAATTTTATAACATGGTCAGCATTTTCCACTGCTGGCGCAAAATTTATGGATGAAGATTGTGAATTTTTCACCGGTTTCTAATCCAGTCATTTATAATTTTCAATTCACTGCCTCACTGTCACCACTGACATTTTCTATGAAAATACCCTTGACTTCTAGTGATGTCAATAATAAAAGGGTCTGGTGATAAAATACATTATATTTGAAGTTCCCTATCTGTCAATCACTGACACCGACAATCACCTCTTTCAATCACGGTTTTGGAAATACTGCCAATGGAATTGGAGAGTGGAATTTGCATGCCAGGCCACTCCCCCATACATATAAGATGGGAGCACTCATCCATCTACTCATTAGATTTTTGCTTCAGACCCGAGAACCCGAGGGTATGGGTCCAAAACTTCTGGGTTCCGTATTGGTGGGCTCAGATCTCGGGGTAATTTAAAATAATAAAGCTTTTTCCAAATGGCTCCAAGAAGACCTGAATTATATTAAACTATGTTGGGCATTTAACAAAATGTTATTATTTAAAACAATTCTATGATAACGTCTGAATTTGCGGGTCTATGTGCACTGGACTCTATAAGCTCCTGCAGCTGTCTTCAGGGCAGCATCTTCACTTGGTTCTTATTACACATTACATTTCTGCTGCATTTT